CTTATAGTGATATATAGCTGATATTATTTATTCTCTAGTTATTATTTAAAATACATAAAGTAAAATAAAAATTATACGTTTATAAACTATCACCTCTTTTTCGTCTTCCTCTTTGACTTCTTATCACTATTATCTCTCCTTTTTCTCTTTTTTTTTCCTTTATCTTCACCTTCTTTTCTGCTTTTTTCTTCACCTTCTTCACCATCTTCCTTTCCACCTTCTTCTTCACCTTCTTCTCCACCTTCTTCTCCACCTTTTTCTCTACTTTCTTTATCTTCAACTTCTTCACTTTTAACTTCTTCTGCTTCGAATATTAATGGATCATTTTCTTCAGATATTTTTTTGGTCAGTTTTTTTTTAGTTCTATTAGCCACCTTTTTTGATGTTGATAGTTCACTAGGTCCTATTGAGGGTGATTTACTTCTTAATAGACTTGATGCTGGTGTTACTATTTCCATTGGTTCATCAGCACTTTTTCCTGTTGTTGCTTCTACTGTTTTTGCTGTTGCTGTTTTTGCTGTTGCTATTTTTGCTGTTTCTGTTTTTGTTGCTACTGTTGTTGCTTCTACTGTTTTTGTTGCTACTGTTTTTGTTGCTACTGTTTTTGTTGCTGCTATTTTTGTTGCTACTATTTTTGCTATTGTTGTTTTTGCTGCTGCTGTTTTTGTTGCTACTGTTTTTGTTGCTGCTTCGGCTATTAATAGTTCACTTAAGGTTGCTTCATGTTCAGAGAGCAAATCATCTGAAGAGGTTTCTTCCTCACTTTCTTCAGCCTTTTCTATTTTTTTCTTTTGTCTCTCTTCTGTTTTTTTCTTTTGTCATTTCCACAGTATTACTCTATTGTTATCACTATCATCGTCATCTGCATGGCTACCTTTTCTTTTCATTCCTGCACTACCTTGTCTTTTCTCAATATCTCTCACCCTAGCTTTTTCTTTCTCAATATCTCTTGCTTCAGCTTTTTCTTGCCTAATATCTCCTACTCCACCTTTTTCCTTCCCAATATCTCCCACTCTACCTATATCTTTTTCTTTTTTTTTCTCATACCTTCTCCTTTCATTTTTTTGCCCTTTTTGCTTACCTTTTTTTTCTTTTTTCTTGGGTCTTTGTCATCAGTTAAATAATCAGCATCAAAATCTTTTGCAGTTAAATTATACTTTTTTAGAGCTTCATTGGATAATACCCAATTTGAGCAA